AATATGAGTGTGCTTCATTCTATTGTGCGTAGGGTCACTATGAGTCAGAGCCAACACGATAGCACCTAACAAAGCAAAGACTAAAGATCACAAACATTTCTTCATATGTTCATTGGTCTCCTGAATGTCTTCTTTGTAGAAGTGTCTGTTCATGTCCTCTGCCCATTAAAAATTTTTTTTCTTATAGAGATGTTAGAGATTCCTATAGATTTTAGGTTTTAGTCCCTTGTCTGCTAGATTATTTCAAAAAATGTTTCTGTCTGTGGGTCGCTTTTCACTTTTTGGCAAAATCTTTTGATGTATATGTGTCTTAATTTTTAGATGGTCCCAGTCATCTATTTTGTGTTTTGTTTGTATGTGTTTAGTTATGTTTGATAGTGTATTTATTTCATGTATCAGAGTCCCTGAATTTGTCCCTATTTTTTCATTGTTGGTCTTTGTAGTTTTAGGCTTTATATTTAGGTCTTTAATCTGCATTGAGTTTGTTTTTACATATAATATATATATCTTGTTTCATGCCAGTATCATTGGTGGAAGAGGCTATCTGTTCCCCATTTAATGTGTTTTGTTCCTTTGTCAAAAAAATCAACTGACTGTATGTGGCTGGATTTACTTCTGGCTTCTCAATTCTGTTGCATTGACCTATGTATCTTTCATTGTACCCATACCAGTCTGTTTCAACTACTGTGGCTTTGTAGTAGATTTAGGTAAGGAAATACGAGGGTCCTCTGACAGTGTTCTTCTCAAGTAATGAGTGTTCTTCTCAAGTACTGCTTTGCATATCTGAGGCCTCTTACCTTTTCATATAAAGTTAGTGATCAGGTTTTCCATCTTTTTAAAGAACGATATTGGAATCTGGATATGCATTATGCTTACCGATTGTCTTCGGTAGTGTTGACATTTTCACAATGTTGTCTTCCTGACATGAGCATGGTATATTTTCCCATTTTTGTAAATCTCTGTTGATTTCTGGTAGTAGTGTCTTGTAGCACAAAAGCAGCTATGGTGGTGGTGATTATGTGCCGTGGAGTTAGTTCTAACTCATAGCAACTCTGTACAGGGTTTCTGAGGCTATAAATTTTTACAGGAGCACAAAGCCTCATCTTTCTCCCATGGAACAGTTGGTAGTTTCGAACTGCTGACCTTAAGCTTCACAGACTGATTCGTAACCACTATGCTACCAGAGCTCCTATACAGTACATAATAAGTAGACATGCCCATGGCTGTTCCAGTAACACTTTTATAGTGGACATTCAAATTTGAATTTCATATGTCAAGAAATGTTCTTTTAATTTTTTACCTCATCCATTAAAAATTATAAAAGCTTCTTGGTTCATGGTCTGTAGAAAAACAGGTATTGTCCCATTGTCCATAGTTTGATGACCCTGTAGTTAAAATAGGTGAATAATTGTTTAAATATTCTTATGCATTCTTTCATGGACAGTATTAAAAGATAAAGTAAAGGAAGCATATAACCCCTTTCTAAGCAGAAACAATGTTGGCTGTGTAAAGAATGACAAATTGAAAATTGTACTAAGAACTATTTGAGCGTACTCCAGATTTTGTTGCCTGTGTCTACTATAGAATCTGATACCGAATAAGTTACCACTCAATGAAAAAAGTGAATGAGATGTCTAGTATTTGAGCCAAAGTCTGCCATTTTCCTCGATGCTAGCTAGTACTTCAAATTTAATACAAAAATTTTCAAAAGACAGATCACCAAATAGAATTTATAAAGGAAATTCATTTCTTGGACACCTGAATCTAATATCTTGCCCTAATTTTAAATTCACTTATCACTCTAGTTGAGGCATGGAAAACATGTGTTTTTATTTTCTCTACATCTATCTTGATTTTGAAGAGTTTTATTGAGGGAAAGTTCAGCACTGACATAAATTATGAACTATTGCAACAATGTGGAAAGAGTTGGTAAATCAGCCTTGACTTTTAACCCTGACACTCTGAGCTCTTTATTGAATTATTTTACATTTTGATATGTAAAATGTAAAATCATACCCTTCCTGAATGATTCTATCTGTTTTCATTCCCACCTGTAGCTATGTAATTATCCCCGGTGGTAGTGGAGGCTAAGCATTGGGTTGTTAATCTCAAGGCTTGTGACTCAAGCCCAGCTGCTCCTTAGGAGAAAGATGAGGCTGTCGGATCTTGTAAAGATTTCCAGCCTTAAGAGACTTTTAAGGAATGATTCTACCCTGTCCTATAGAGCAATTATGAGTTGGAATCGGCTTGATGGCAGTGAATTTGTGTTTAGGTTCTCCAGCTACTCTTAACTTCCATTTTTTTATGAAATGAAGTGCATACAGCATTCAATGTGATATTTTCAGTTGCAACATTCCGTGTATTTCCAGATTTCTCTGATTTACTAATTAGATAAAATAAACCATGATTATTTGTTTTTTTCAAAGATGCCACTCTCCTTTATAATAGACTATTTATAGTTGAGTTACTTCATTGGGAAAGAAGAGAAATAAAACGTTAAAATTAAGTGAATTACCATAATTAAAATTAATCAGAAACAAGATTAAAGCATTGAATTATATTCTGTGTTAATATAGCATATTGTTACTATCACAACTTGTCTTGTTGTTGTATGCCATGGAATTGATTCCAACCCATAGCAACCCTCTACAGGGTTTCCAAGACTATAAATCTTTACAGGAGCAGAAAGCCTCATCTTTCTTCCACAGAGCAACTGGTAGTTTCGAACTGCTGAACTGGAGGTTAGCAGCCCAATTTGTAACCACTACACTACCAGAACTCCTTATAGAATGTTAAAATTGAAATGGACTATAAGATAACCTGTTCCCTTTCATTTCACAATTGAAGAGACTTGAGAAGCTTATCGCTAGCATTCTGTGGCTCTATCACTGTGTACAAGATACTTGGGTTTAGAGCAATCAACCTGCTATCTCACTCCTTTCTTATGAGTCTTTAGATATAAATTCTTCCTAAGACTGTTAATTAAACCTGTCTGAGCAGCTGTTTAATATTAGTGAAGGTATTTCAAGCTTAGATCGAAGCCTTCTGATCTGTATAGATTTGTATTTATCAGTAGTCATTTAATATTTTAAACATCCATGTTTTCTAATGATATCATTTGGCAACACATTTTTTTGCAGCTATCACCTCCTCTTTTTTTGTTACAAATTTCCCAGACATTTGGCATAGTTAATATTTTCTTCCTTTCAGTTAAATGACACAATTCACAAATCTTTCTTTCCTGGATAAGGTGGACAATTGTTTAATAAATGCTGGAGAGCATAGAATATTGCATTGGTTCCAAGTCTATTTTCAGCCAGTAGAATTGAATGGAGTCCATGTTTTCCCTTATAGCTATGAAGCCTTTCCAATTTTTGAATTTTAATATACACTCACCATTCAGGATAGAGTAATAATGGCAGTATTCTTCAATTATTTGTCCAGGGCTTAAAGTGAAACAGTAACTTTCTTCATTTTTTATATATGGAAATAGCATTTTAATCATCTTCCTGTAGAGATAACTGTGAAATATGAGCATTTTCCAGGTGTAATGAGTAGTTGAGTAGTTGAAATTATACCATTTCCCCCATTCTTGTTGCTTATATCATCCATTGTTGTTGTTGTTAAGTGCTGTTGAGTCAGTTCCAACTCATAGCGACCCTGTATAATATTTTTTATTTTCAGCATTATTACTTAAATAACATTTATCATCAAAATAAGGAGCCCTGGTGTTGCTATAGGATAATAACTGGACTATGAACAGCAAGGTCAGCAGTTCAAACCCACCAGCTGCTCCTCTGAAGATGAAGCTTTCTGCTCCCATAAAGATGTACAGCCTCAGAAACCTTGTACAGGGTCACTATGAGTCAGAACCAATTCTATGGCAGTGGCTTTGGCTATCATCTTAAATGATACATGCCCAAACCACTTCAACTGAGAGTCACTGACTTTTTAAAATATTTTCATTCATCCTCACTTTTAAATGATCCTGCCCAACCAAACTCACCCACCTCCAAATCCCCTCCCCACCAAATAAGAGAAGAATTGTGCAGGGAGCTCTGCTCTGGTATGCTGACAGAATTCAATGTTGGAGAGCGTAACTCCCGCAGACTTGACCTTAGATCTCTGAGGAGAGACACTGCTTTGTTTTGTGGCTTTTGTGTAACTCTCAAATCCAGAAATAATACCTGTGTGGAATGTGTTGTAGAAAGAGTGTTCTTGTCCTTACTTCTGTAATCCTTGTTCCTTCTAAGATGAACAATGGCTGCAATTTCCTAAATCAATGCTGGTTGAATTTTGATGAGCATTTTTGCTTTGAATATAGTGGCTGAGTGAAAATGAGGGATTCCTCAGAGCTTTGTAAAACCAGTGTTTTACTCAGGTGTCTGACTGAAAAGATGTCATCCTTGACCCAGAACCTAAAGACATTTTCAGGTGAAAGTGCACGTAGGCACTTTCCAAATTGATTTCACCTTTATGATTATATGGACAAATAACAGAAATCATCATTGACTGTTGTTTTCTTGAATCAGTAACTGACTTTCAAACCATCATATTTTTCTGTTTATTCTTGATTTTGGCAGAAGAGCTTCTGTGCTAGGTAGTCTAAATTGACTAAATTCCTTTGGTCTTTGGCTTGGGAGGATGTTAACTACCCTCTCATATGTGACATCTGTTGTTAGGTGGACAGCCAGCTTGTCCTTAGAAGGAGCAACGGGAAATGAATTGTATTGATGTCTGTTGTGCTGTCTTTTTTTGCTGTGGTTTGGTTAATGGTAATCATCGCTCTTCCTTCCCCTTTCCTGCTGCCTTTCCCCCTCCCTGTCCCATCTTCCCATGTACTTTTTGAATTTATTAAATTGGCTATATATTTTCCCCCTTACTTTCTTTAATTTGTAATTTCCTGCCCCACTCTGTCTTTCCTGTTTGCTTGGGTTCCATATTGCTGGTTTTTATGTTCGCACGCTCATTATCACCCTTTTTTGTACTTCAAATCCCAGCAGCTGCCCAGCCAGGTCCCTGAGCACAGCCCTGTGGTTTATGGGACTGTGGAGAGCGTTCATCTTGCTGCCAGCACCCCTGTCACTGCAGCTAGCGACCAGAAGCAAGGTTTGTGTATGACTGTTTCCTCCCTCTTGTATTTAGTCTCGTTTTTATAATGACATTGCTTTCAGCATTCAAGAGTAAGATTAAAATAGCTGAGGATTATTTAGATACCTAATTTCAAATGGAACTTTGAGATGAAAATCAAATTGTTCTAGCTGCAGAAAATTAAAACAGGGATAGTTACTGGACTAATTTCCCTACATTTTAATAACCCACTGTGAATATTTACTTATAGGTAAAAACTTAGCTACTTTAAACTGTTTTGTTTTTTAAACAATATTGCTGGGGGAAAAATAAATCATAGTATATATATTGCTTTCCAAGAACAGCACAGTTTATGAGGAGTTTTGCTATTTTAAAAAAGATAAGTTTTCCTTCTTACAAGATTGGGCTTCTATAGCTATAGTTGGAGATAGCACTGAGTTCAAATCCTTGTTCCATCATGCACCTATTTGGTCTTGATTGAATCACTTACTTTTTGACCTCAGTTCCTTCATTTACAGAATGCCATGAAGAAGACCTGCCTCACAGGGGTTGTACTTAGCACATGAAAAGCCCTTAGTAAATTATAGCCATTATTATTGATATAGGATAAGGTCTCTACTCCTAATGTCCTTGAACATGAAATGTCAACTGTTAGTTCAAATAAATACACATAATACATTTTGGATTGTAAGTAGAAAATTTTAAGGGAAATTTCATGTTATAAAATGGGATATTATAGTCTGTCTTTCTTTCCTGCCTTTTGGATTTTAGGTCGACCTTAGTTAAAATGAAATTAGGAGACAATTCCCACTAGGAATAGGGGAAAACAAGTGACTTTAAGCATGCTTTTATAATATTTCTGACTTCATTTTTTAAAAAAAGTATAAATGAGATACAATTTCTTAAACTATTCATTCCTCCAAACTTATTATTCTGTGGTTGCCTGGCAGGAAATATATTTTGCAAGAATCAGTCTTTTTAAAAAGCTTTTGGAAATTGGGCCATAATACAGAGTTGTTGGTGTAGTTAAATGTTGTCCAGTTAGTTTTGACTCATAGGGACTTTGTATAGGGTTTCCGAGGAGCAGTTCATGGGTTTGAACTGCTGACTTTTCGGTTCAAACTGACTTTCCAGTCTAGTGCTTATCCTATAAAATCACACAGTAAGACTCCATAATACAAAATGGATGTGTTTAGTAATAGGGTTTCTTGATTAACATTGCAAGTTTAATGACAGTTATAAAGCTCCTCAAAGAAGAACTTTTAATACCTGATTTAAGTGTTTTTGTACAGATATTATAGTGTTTAGAAAGTTCAGACTAAACAAAGCCTTACTCCTAGTCCTAGCCCAACTCTCACCCCAACACTAACCCTAGTCCTAACAATAACCCTAAAAATAAATGACGTCCTAGGCCTAGTCTAGACTTAGCCAAAGTCTCAACCCTAACCCACACTCCTTATTCTTACCTCCCAAAAAGAATTTAACAATTAAGTTTTAATTTCCCTTGAGCATTGAGGACCCTGCAAAAGTAAACTTAAGCAGAGATAAGTCCTGTCTTGTATTTGTTTTATAAAATAGTTTTAAATCAAAAGGTAAGTGGTAATACCCTAACCTTGACATGTTTATAAAAGTTGTACTGCCTTATACTTCTGGCAGTGCCCAGAATTAGGGAGGATTCAGTCATGCTTCAAGCTAATATCAAATCCCCTCACCCTCTAGGAGTTGAGGTAGTATCCATAAATATTATGAAACATTAACTTTCTACCTCTACCGATTTGTCATTCTTTAGAACTAGATTTCCTAAGGATGGAATGAATGCAAGTTCTTGGTTTCCCCTTAATTGTTTGCTTAGTAGAAATTTGAATAATCAACACAGTGTTTTAACTTGATATAAAAGTAGATAAATGGGAAAATTATGAAAAGAAAAACTTGTTCTTAAATTTATTTCATCGCACTTATATAAGTAACTCTTTAGGACTGTTGCTGTCTTCCCTTTCTGGTAAAGAACGCTAGCTATTTACCAGAAAACTGAGTAACTCTTTTCTAATTCCACACATAATCATCAATATATAAAATAATTTTCACAGTATTTTTTTTCTAAACAAATTTTTATGAATTCAGATAATATTAGAAAGGGCTCACCATATTTTACAGAAAATTATTTTTTTTTCTTTAGTTAGAAATTTTCTTAACTGTAGATTCCTTCTGAAACTAAATTAGGATGCAAAAATGAACTGTTTTCAAATATTGCTCTATTACTACCAGAAACAACAGACTGCATTGTGCAGCTAGGTTGGGTTCATTCTCTCAATGAAAGTGTCATTACTGAGGGCTTTCACCAGTAACTGTCTCCTGTTAGTGGTAAAGTCTCCTACCTGCTCGATTTCAACCCTTCCTGAGTTGTAAGAATGTGGGCTTTGAAATCATTTTCAGGCTCTAGCACATGATAGTTATATCATTTGGGACCTGTGAATTTTCTCTCAAACCTTTGTTTTCCCCATTTGTAATCTAAGAACATAAATAGTTCCTACCCACTAGTGTTTGTGAGAATTAAAGAAGACAATGTATATATGGTGTTAGACTCAATATCAGTTTTCTCAAAAGTTTTGTAAACAGCTGGACTGATTCCATGAATGAAGGTAAAGGTATAATTAAGTACAAACAAAACTTTGAAAGGTACCTTAGGAAAGGGTGAGTGCCTGTTGAATGATACCTGTTATAACTCAACTATGTATTGCAGTTTTGCTCTGTTGGCATTTTGGACAGGACTATTATTTTTTAATGGAGCCCTGGTAGCACAGTGGATAAAGTTCTAGGCTATCATCAATCAAAAGGTCAGTGGTTCGAACCCACCAGCTGCTCCAAAGGAGAAATATGTAGCAGTCTGCTTTTATAAAGATTCTAAGCCTTGGTAACACTCTGTCTCATATGGTCAGAATTGACTCAATGGCAGTGAAATTTTGTTTGGATTATTTTTCAAGTGAAACTGTCCCTCAAATTGTAGGAAGCTCAGCATTCCAGGCCTCTGTCCATTAGATGACAGAACCCTCTCAATCAGCTAAAAAGTCATTTATTTGGTTCCACTATTATATGAAAATATAAGTGAGGTTGTTGGGTTTTTTCTTGTAAATATGTAAAAAAAATATAGAAAAAATGTGAAAAAAGTAACCTGCTATTTCTTCACCCAGTAACATTACTACTAAGCTCTATGTAATTCCAGATTTGCCTCTATGCACATTTATTATTATGTAGATTTTAAGTTACTTTGTTAGGTTTATGTTCTAGTACATTTTGTGCTCTGCAAACACACAAACACACACACGTGTGCACACACTCGCATACATACAAAGGTAAGTCAAAAAGTATTTCTACTAAGGTTCCTGATCATACATGTGCAGGTTTATTCCCAAAAAGAATATGTTTAAACGTAGCACTGTGGTCAGTGGACAAGCTCTATCAGTAATACACTTGTTTTCGTCTTATACATACTAGGGTGCCTTCCATTTTTTAAATTTTGTTTTCAATCAAAACAGTGACTTCCAAGGGGTTGAACTTGGGCAGTTAAATTCAAGGCAGAGTGGTCAACACAGAAGGTGCAACTATTTTTTTAGATTCCAATTGGATCATTTTGATAGATATTCTTGAAGGGCACAGGACAATCATGGGGCTTATTAGGAAGAAGTTTTAAGAAAACTGCACTGTTGAGAAAAAAAACAGGAAAGTTTCATGGAGCAAATATTTTCTATCACGACAATGTATCTTCTCATTCTTTGAAGGCAGCAAGGGCTGTCCTATGAGAATTGCTTTGAGAAGCCTTACCCTACCCACCTTACAGCCATGATCTTGCCCTTTCAACCTTTCTCCCCCTAAACTCAAAAGAACATTGAAAAGGAACATAATTTGCATCCCTTAAGGATGCCAAAACTGCTGTTTTGACTTGATGTAAATGGAAAATGCACAGTTATTTGGGGGAAAGGTAGAGAAATAGAAACACTGCCTTCAGAAGTGTACCTAGATGGAGGACAGATCAAGAAACAACAGCTTCACATTGTCATAATTTTAATAAAGGTTTCTATGACTTTGCAGCAATGCTTTTTTTTACCTACCCTCGTGTCTATACGTAGAAAGAGAGAGAGAATACATGGTGACTCTGTAGTATAAACACTAGACTGAACCACAAGGTCGGCAGTTCAAACCCACCAGCTGCTCCATGGGAGAACTATGAGGATTTCTGTTCCCACTAAGATTTATAGCATTGGAAACCCTATACAGGGTTGGTATAAGTCAGAACAGATTCAATGACACTTAACAACAATATAAAAACAACTTTTATGTCATTGTTCTTATAAAGGCCTGTTTTAAGTGATTACATTATATTCCATTATATGCCCAGGCCAGTAACTTTTTCATAAATCCCTTTTATATATTTAGTTTATTTCTAAATTTTTTCTGTTATAAAATCTTCCATAAGTATTCTAGACTTTCATCATTACTTATTCTTTCATGATTATTTCCTTAGAAAAATAACTTAAGGATGGAATTCCTATTAATTCTTAAAGATGATTAAGCAGAATAAATATTTTTAAAGCAGTATATTAGATTTTGAATGATTAGTACCCTATAAATCATAGTCTTTATAGTAAAAGCTTTTAGAATAAAATCAGAGTTCTTTATTTAGATCCTCAGTTTTCTGTAAGCAAAGCTTTATTGAGTAGCTTAAGGAACATTTCAGAATGAGGAGCTCCCAGTAGAATTAACATCTTTTTGTTTTTCTTGCTCTTTACTGTTATTGGGTTTTCTAAAGAGTATATATGTGTTTATTGTTGTCAGTCATAGGCATGCTTTCATTTGGCTTTTCATTGTTAGAAATTTTGTTTCCCAGCATTAATCACTGAGTTGACAGACATACTCTTACTGGATTGTTAATGCTAGAACTAGTGTTTTTTCTTTATTTTCTATTTTACTGCATCTAGCCTATTAATCTGATGTGTTTTTACAGTTTTGCAGTGGATTCTGGAGGACTCATGTAGCAGTGATTCTAATGAGCTGGAAATTATTTTCATCAAAGACATTTTCTCACTTAAAATATTTTTGTTTCATGTTGTTCTGGCAAATTAGTCCATGGGATTTGGCAGGGAGAGTCTATTGATCTTATTTCACTGCTGCAGTGATAAAAGGCAAAGTCCAAATTTAGAAGCACTAGCTTCTTGCACCCATAAATTTAAGTGGCTTTTAAGACCTGTAAATGTAAATGAGTAAAGCTTTGACAGTTGAATGGTAATATTTACCATCTGTTTCTCTGATTCACAGAGCACATTCTCACTGACAGACTCAACTACTGTTTGTTGTGAAGGCTCTTTGTCACTAATGTGTAAAGATTTCTGGAGGAGAAAGTGAAGTCCTTAACAGTTTAGATTGTCTTTTAAAGGGGCTTAAAAATTTTGTCAGCAGTTGATAAACATACTCAGGTGATTCTGTTTTTCCAGTGGACCCTGTTTATCCAGTAGCACAAGGCCAGAAACTAGTCTAAATCTTCTTTGATTTCATTCTGTCAGGGGTGAATTCCATCCTAGTTTAGCTAGAATATAAAAAATTTTATTAGAGTTCCTTGCATTTTTCTGGTATCTTTATTGTGACAATTTATTTCTAGTACCTTTATTGTGACAATTAATTTCACTCTTCTTCTTACTCTCATTCTCTGTCAGAACATACATGTATGCATTTCATGTATTATTCTGAAATATTTCAAATGTGTATATTAATTAAATGATTTGCTTATCTGAGTGTTAACTTTGGGTTCTCCTTTACATAAATAATTTTTCTTTTACATTTGAAGACACAGGATAATTTTTCATTTTTAATCCTTACATTTTTTTTCTGGTTACATACTACTTTTGATAAATGAAAATTAATTCATCAACTTGTTTTTTTGTTTAAGAACTTGAAATTTTCACTGAGACTATTATGGTCTCTCTTAAAACATAGTTTTGTTTTTGTTTTTCATGAAGTAATATGAGTAGGATTCAGGCAGGGTAGAAACATGGCAGATAAGAAGTGAGCCTTCATAGCATTTCCACCATGTAGTGTTTGTTTGCCTTTGTGGAGTCCTGCAGCCCTGCTAGAAATCACCACAGGAAACAGGGTCTGATAGAGGTGAACTTTTCTCCACTGTAAAGAAAGTTTCTATCTTGTCCCAAGAATAGTGTAGCTTCTGTTCTGATAAGCTTGTTCCATTGTACTGGTGACACGTCATTTGGTGAATTGATCTCATGTCTTACTCCAAAATAAAATTTATACATGATGAAGACCAAGTAACTGTAGGTGTAACTGGGAAAAGAATGTGACAATGTTTTCAGAGTTGCAAAATAAGTCCAGTATTTTGGCTTCTATTTTGCAGCCCATGATTTAGATTAAGAGGATGACATAATTGACTGAAAATTATACAATGTAGTTTCTAATCTAAAATTGTTAAAACTCTTATTTTTTCTTCCCTAGAAGAGAAGCCAAAACCAGATCCAGTGTTAAAGTCTCCTTCTCCAGTCCTTAGGCTAGTCCTCAGTGGGGAGAAGAAAGAACAAGCAGGCCAGACATCTGAGACACCTGCTGTAGAATCCACACAAGTGCTTCCTCAGCCTGCGTCACCTACCACTGTTTCTCCGATTGCTCGGAATATGATTCCTTCTCCCACTTCTGCTGTTCTTAGTAGCCAACCAATGTTCACCACTGCTTTAGATGCCAGATGTGAACACTCTTCCCCAAAAGAGGACACATTTCCTATATCCAGTCCCACATCTTGTACAGAAACATCGGATCCTTCACCAACAGATGACATTGATGATGATATATGCAAGAAACCTTGTAATGTAGCTCCTAATGATATCCCACTGATTTCTAGTACTAACCTAATTAATGAAATGAATGGAGTTAGTGAAAAATTACCGGCCATGGAGAGCGTTGTGGAAATAGTAAAGCAGGAGGTGCTGCCATTGACACTTGAATTGGAGATTCTGGAAAATCCCCCAGAAGAAATGAAAGTAGAATGTGTGTCCACGCCTATCACCCCTTCCACAGTTCATTCCTTTTCTCCATCTCCTCCAACTCCTCCAGCTTCTCCTCCTCCCACTCCAGTCATTGTTCCTGCTGCCGCCACTACCATGAGTGCTCCTACTGCTCCCACCAAAGCTCAGGGAGTCTTTGAAGAGGAGGAGAGCATAAGAACTTGCTTTAATGAAGATGGAAAAGAAATTAAAAAAAAGATGGAGGCAGAAGCAGACGGGCAAGCAGAAGAAACTGTAGATTCTCAGAGCTTAAACTCAAGAAAGAGCCCTGTCCCAGGTAAGCTTTCCTGCCATTAATACTACTATGCTTGCTGAACATGAAGAAGCAGCCGTGTTTGTTTTTAATTGACTACTTTCCTTGACTTCCAGAAACATCGAATGAATGCTGAAATTTCTAGTCTGTTTTCTTCAATGGTGTGTTTGTGTTTTAGTGCAGACAGCAAAAGAATTACTACATTGTCTAACAAAAACAAATGAAAATTTCAAATATACAAAGTGCCTCCAAAATATATGTCGCTATGCATGTTCTTTTTGCCTCATTCATATGAATAAATTCCTCAGTCATAAATTTTGTTTCTTTGGTTCTGGAAACCAATCGGAACAACCGTGGCCTATAGTCCTTAAATCCTGCATAGTTAAGTTTAATGTTCTCCCACTTTTGTTTTTAAAACAGCTGTATTTTGCCTTTTAGTTTTTTTAAATGGCCATTAATGTTATCAAAGTGTATTATGTTCTTTCCAAATCTTTTCAATGTACATTGCTTAGGATTTTAGGAACTGACCATTAGGTTCTTAAATTCTAATCTAAAGTTATCTGAGGCCTATCATCTATTTAAGGAGCTCTGGTAGCGTAGTGGTTACGAATCGGGCTGTGAACCGCAAGGTCAGCAGTTCAAAACTACCAGCTGTTCCACAGGAGAAAGATGAGGCTTTCTGCTCCTGTAAAGATTTACAGCCTCAGAAACCCTGTACAGAGTCAGAACTGACTCCACGGCACATCACAACAACAACAAACATCATCTATTTGTTCAGTAGCCCACAAGAATATTGAAGTTTTAGCTTTTAGCAAGTTGGCATGGTCTTTCATATTGCCCTTCACTGTATAATTTGTTGTCTTTATGCCTATCATGTAAGTCATGCTTATGTGAGTTAGACACTTGGACAAATGAATATACTTCTGACAGTTCATCTAGAAATGCACCAGGGCAGGTTTGCTCAACAACTTCCTCACCACTTACCTATTTTGAGCTGTGTGGTAGATAGGGAAACTTGACAAATCAAAAACTTAATCTGTACTATTAATATGTGATTTTCTCACTCAGCTTAGTTCATAAGGAAGCTTTCTCATCAGTGTCCATGAGAGGTGTCTGTTCTCTTGGAACTGCAGACTATCTAGTTTAACTCAGCAAACCAAAGCAGAACAGCAAATAATGCAAGGACGAGGGACAAAGATAAATGCATCATGTATGTTTGTAAATCCCATTTCCTCGAATAGATCGGGCTCCCTTGGCACCAGTATTTATGGTGCCATCACTGTTTTAGGAACTTTGTCCCTCCATGGGGAAAATGGTCTAGGACTAATTTGTATGTTAACCTTTTGAAAAAACAATCAGCTTTGTTAAGGCAACAGGTTGTTGTTGTTAAGTGCTGTTGAGTCAGTTGCCACCCATAGTGACCCTGTATAGGGTTTCCAAGGAGTAGCTATTGAGCTTGAACTGCTGACCTTGAGAGTCAAACTGACTTTGCAGTCCAGCGCATTAACCTACAGTACCACAATAGGACTCCAAGTTAATAGGGTAATGCCCCGCAAAGAACACATATTTGTTAAACAGTAATTTGACCCTTTATTGTGTCCTTTTATTTACCTACTTTGTTAGTTGTCATTCAACAGTGATTGATGTAATCATTCTAAAAATAGAAGAAATGAGTAAAGACAGATGTTTTAAAATTTAAGAACAAGTAACAGAAAGGGAAACTAAATAAACCTAATGAATACAAGTTAAAGATGCAAACCTTATACCTCACAATTGAAGTAAGTGCAAAGCAAGACCCTGCACCATTACCACACTTCATTCTCCTTTTAGGCCGTTTGTTATATAAGTGGTTTGATATTACAAGAAAGTGCCCTGTCCTAGAAGGACAGACATGAATGTTGTTGGGTTAAGTATTCTTCATCTCCTGGCAGTGCTTTGAAGTACAGATACTCTTGGAATTGGTAGTATAAGTCTCCAGTATACTAGTCAAAGTGTATAGAGTCTTCAGCAGTGAAGCAGTTGTCATGCCGTCAAGTTGGTTCTGACTCATAGTGACTTTGTACAGGGTTTCCAAGTCTTTTTAAATCTTCAAGGGATCAGAAAACCTCATCTTTCTCCCGACTGAGAGGCTGGTGGGCTCAAAGCGTGGACCTGGTGGTTCACAGTCTGGAGCTTACTGCATGAAGCCACTGCATCCCCAGTGAATCAGACACTATCTACAAAAGCAAGAACAATCCCAAACATGATTGAGAATGAAATAGAAGTTGGTGATATTAGGGATTAAAATGTCTTGATGTTTTTGTAGTCTCACAGTGTTTTAACCTATAAAAGTATTGTAAAAGAAACAGAAGTTCTCGGGATTCCTCCCTTTATATCTTGCACTTTTCAAAACCAACCATAAATGCGTTTTTTCCACTTAACTTTTTGAAGCCCTCTCATAAAACTGAAGAACCCCTGCGACTCTAGTTTTTAAAATTCTAAAACCGCCAGAAATGTTCTTGGCCATATTTGTCCCATTGTGGATAAGCACTGGACTGCTAACCACGAGGAATACTGTTCAAATCCACCACCCCCTCCTCAGATATCCTATACAGGGTCCCTATGAGTCAGAACTAACTCGATGGCACTTGACAACATCATCTTTGTAAAGGTTAGCCTTTAAATATATTTGTCTTGAGTCCTGGTGTGGCATTGTGGGTTAATGAGCTGGACGGCAAAGGCAGTTTGAACCACAAGTTCGGCAGGTCAAGCTTACTAGCCACTCCTTGGAAACCTGATGATACAGGTTTGCTAGGGTGAGAACCACTTGACTGGCACTTAACTACAACTACTACTATTATGTTGAAGTGGTCGTAGTCTTAAGGATTGCTATCTTAATTTGCCTAACTCACTTGTAGTACATTGTCTATATTGAAAAGTTGATAAACCATAAAAAGAATTTGGTTTGAATATCAGTGTTCCCTAATAATTCTTACTGTCCCACTCTGGGGATGAGAAACTTCACACAGCTGGCTTCAGAAACCACCTGCTTTTGAGAGGTGTAATGCTTCAAGACACTTAAAGTATTTGATATAGTGGCACTTGTTTAAAGCAGTAATAAAGGTAAAAGCATAAGGGAGTTAGTCCCACTTATTAGTTCTGCTGAAAAACCCTTTCTCACAACTATAATTCCTGAGTGTTGCAGAATGCAGCAGTTATGGATGCTTTTTGATGTTGAAGAGCAAGCTCTGTAAAATGAGTAAAATTGTGTGCGTGTGTGTGTCTTTATTATATTCTAAAAACCCTTAGGGTTTGGCCAGATTTTATGCAATCACTTCAATAATTAAATATACAAAAAAAAAAAAAAAAGAAATGTATATACTTGGTAGGGAAGAAAGGAGGGTTTCAGAACTTGTAGAAAAACACCTCCCATTCATAAATCAGAAATTAGTTTTGAACATTTTTAGGAATAATGCATATAATGTATTTTTAATAAGGATAATAGGAATATTAACACCAGGGCTTTTTAAAATTATTATATCTCTCCTGATGTGGCGCTGTAGGATCAGCACTGGACTGCAAACCACAAGGTTGGCAATTCAAATCTACCAGCTACTCCTCAGAAACCCTATACAGGGTTGCTATGAGTTAGAGAACCTACTGACGACAGCCCTTAACAACAACAAAATTAATCATAAATCTATTACTTAAAAATCTTTTGATAAAGGAAGGTTCTTAATCTTTCTGATTGTCTTCTGGCTGTTGCTTAGAGTGCATTGTTTTTTGTGTGTGTTTGTTCTTCAATTTGTTTTTTCATCTAAACTTGCCTAGATGTAGATTGAGGACCAATCCTTCTGAAGCAGTTTTATATTTACCTGATATCTTGGGGAAAGTACTATCTGGAACTAAGTTTGAGTGTTAATTTCCTAAACCTACATTCATATCCAAAAACAAAGTCTGAGGGCATTCCCTGTTTATCTTCATTTTCAGGGTGACAGCAGTTCACTGTGTACCTAGCTGAAACAAAACAGGCTTTCTTGTAATCACTCTTGTGGTTCACTAGTTTATTTTGTTCTGTTTTATCTTTTTAGCTACTCATTCTTGAATCTGTCACTGTTTTAAGAGGCTTAGGTCTGTATGTGAGAATCTCAGAACCAAGTCTTTATTTACAGAGATCCAACGTCTCATTTCCTCTTTCCACATGAGGGTTAAAATCTCAACTCCGTGATTACAGAGGTTGACACAGCATCACACTTCCATAGTATGGTAGTTTATGTGACTTTCAGGAATCTCAGTTAAGAATGGAAGAGGATTTCTAGATTCTGTACATTACAGATTAAAGATGGGAGATTTTGTTTTCAAATAGAGATTTGATTATATGTTTTGGGAAACATTAATAAAATACTGACCTATATAGCCAATCATATTGCTGTATACTTGAATACAGAAAAAATATAATAGCATTTGATATCTCGTCTGTGAACATACTAAAACACAAAACCAAGAAAACCTGTCTATCAGTTTGGGTAGACTGTTGTAGCACTGTAGGATAAGCACTTGACTGCTAACCCCAAGGTTGGTGTTTCAAACACACCAGCTGTTTCTCAGAAACCCTCTACAGGGTTGCTGTAAGTCAGAACTGATTCCACGGCACTTAACAACAGTTTTTAAAAGGTTCATTTTTTAAACCATGTTCTGAAGGTCAACATCAGAAATAGGAAATTTGAAATTTGTTTTTGCCTTGGCTACACTTATACTTTTTAAGGAGCAGTTGAAATATCCTTAGAGGATTTCATTGTTTGGGCTAAAAATAGGTCACCAATACTTTATGTGTCCCAAGAGCCAGATTCCTTCCTACTGTGTACCCTCATAATTTGGTCTTTTGTTTCCTACAAGAGAAATGCTTCCTAGAACCTAGGAAACAGACCTTCTTATACATACCTGGTTCCATGTCATCTACCCAAACTAGCAGGAGAATCAGTAAAGCAAGGCTCCTTCTTTTAGAGGCTGAGTCTGAGTAATCTTTGGTGATGGTGGTGGTGTGATGGTTACATGTCACTGAATTGGTTCCGACTTATATTGTTGTTAGGTGCCATCAGGTAGGTTCCAACACACAGCGACCTTATGAACAACAGAAGAAAACACCACCCAGTCCAGCGCCTTCCTGTTATTATATGCTTGAGCCCATTGCTGCTGCCACTGTGCCAATCAGTCTTGTCAGGAGTTAACGTCTTTTTTGCTGACCCTCCACGTTACCTAGCATAATGTCCTTCTCTAGGAAAT